CTCGACTCTCTATGGGCTTTTGAGAGACTATACACTAGTATCTCTGTCACAGGATGAGAGAAGTGAAAAAGGTAATTGAATCGATAATTGAAAGCCAAAAGCTAAAAGAATCATGCGAGCTAGGTTTCCTATCCGAGTCACGTTTCCTATCCGAGTCACGGCACCATTATGTCGCTCCCCCTCTTCGTGGAGGAACGACACAGGACCCTGCGCTGTTCTTTCGTCTGCTCGGCCCTCCCCGGGTTTGCTGCTGGTTCTTCCCGGGTTGGCTACTGTCCCTTCCACCTCCGTGGAAGGGCAGTTCCCCCTGGCCGCATTCCCCACTTCCGCAGGGGAGCGGCACACCGCCGGCCGGCTCTCTGGGGGCTGCACGGGTTCCCTTAGATGTTCCCCATAGATGTTCCTCGTGCATGCCGTCTCTCTCCTCCCTTATAGTCCTCTTCTGCCAATCCTAACTCGGCTGCCCACACGCCGAGTACGCTGCTCTCCAATCAGGAGCAAGTCCTACAGTTTATTGGTTGAACTGGAGGCAGCTGGGTAGAAGCTGTTTTCTCCTCTCCCAGCGCCATATTGTAGGAGAGCAGATGCATAGAATAAGTCTTAATTCCAGCAACTTAGTCTAGTCCAAGCTGCTCCCCACAGAGGAGAGCAGATGCATAGAATAAGTCTTAATTCCAGTAACTTAGCCTAGTCCGAGCTGCTCCCCACAGTCTGGGTTATGTTACTGTGGAGACACTTGTTGATAGGGAACAGAAAACAAAAGAAAATGTTTTCCTTGGTTGTGTGTAAGGGAAAGCACTGCAGAATCAAGGAGTCACAACTGAAAATAGACAAGAGAAAACCATGGGCTATACAAAGAGTTCTAGATAAAGTTGGGAGGATACCCAACAGCACAGAAGTAAGAGAAGACCACTGAGAACACCCAGACTTAACATGAGGTCATTTCAACTTCTGGATTTGATTGAACAAAAAGGACTAAAAAGAACAGCAAGAGAGGATAAAGAATAATCAGGAACATCAGTGATAACTTCAGCCAGGGAGAGGTTTCTGACTAGTCAGTGAAAGACATATAATAAGATGAAGCCTAGGAATGACTTTCAGAAGTCACCACGAGTTACTGATGACCAGAGGAACAAAAGCTTCATTCACCACATTCCATGAGAAGCAATCCACAACACCTATAGATTTTGAAATTTTGTTTTTAAACAACACATACAAACAAGGATTTCATTTCCTCAACTCAATTTTTGGCACCAATTATATGCCACCCTTTGTGGATACAACTGTGTTATGCCCTCTGTCTCACTCAGGTCTAAAAATACCATAATTGACACTATTTCGATATTCCAAGTTCTAGCTTAGAAGAAAAAAAAAAACAATCTATTTTGAGGTATTTAGAGTCTTAAAATTTTACAACTATC